AAATAAAATCCTGGCCAGGCTTGGCGGCTAACGCCTATAATCCCAGCACTTTAGGAGGCTGAGGCGGAAAGATCACTTGAGGCCAGGAGTTTATGACCAGCATGAGCAAAATAGCAAGACTTCACCTTCAGTGTGCCAGGCATGGTGGCATGCACCTGTAGTGCCAGCTACTCAGGAGGCTGAGGTGAGAGAATTGCTTGAGTCCATGAGTTGGAGGCTGCAGTGAGCTGTGATGAATGCTTCACTGCGTTCACGGCCACAGCCAAAATGCCAGAGCCCCTCTCGCCCTGTGGTCTGCAGCATGAAAAGGCGCAAAGACAAAAATCAAAGGGCTCTGAGGGTGCCCTGTTCATCTGGTCCTCAGCCTCACATGGAAGGCTCAGCTCTGACCTCACCATTCAGGTCAGTGCTAAGGGTGGAAATACAAGCCTTTGGCTTTCTGAGCTCGTGCATTTTCTCCATCGAATTGGAGATGGAGTCTCGCTTTGTGGCCCAGTCTGGAGTGCAGTGGCGCAATCTTGGCTCACTGCAACCTCCACCTCCCAGATTCAAACGATTCTCCTGCCTTAGCCTCCCAAGTAGCTAGGACTACAGGTGCATGCTGTCACACCTGGCTAATTTTTTGTATTTTAGGAGAGATGGGGTTTCACCATGTTGCCCAGACTGGTCTCGAACTCCTAAACTCAGGCAGTCCGCCCGCCTCAGCCTCCCTTCTCCATCTAATTGAATGCTACAAAGTTATTTTCTCTTTGGCTCAGGTAGACTGTACATGAAGGCTTTAAATTGCACTGGGCGCACCACTGCATTCCAGCCTGGGTGACGGAGAGAGACCCTGTCTCCAAAATTAAAAAAAAAAATAAATAAATAAATATAAACCCTCTAACTGCTAAGTGAAGAGGGGAGGCAGCCTTGATGTCCAGGGGAGAGATGCCCAGAGGGGGCTGGGAGCAAAATTGACAGATTAGAGATGCACCACCACGGACTGCCCTGGGACTGTCTGCAGACAGCAGATGCTCTGTCCACTGGACTGGTAAAGGGAGTCGACGGGTAGCGGGCAGGAGACAGGAGGTCAAAAGAGTGTGCTTTTTCAGGTAGATGATATTAAAGCATGTTTAGACACGAGGCGTACACTGATTCTCTGGGGAGAACAGGCCAAGAGCAGTTTAAAGCTTTCATGTGGCCAGGTGTGGTGGCTCACGCCTGTAATCCCAGCACTTTCGGAAGCTGAGACGGGCGGATCACTTGAGGTCGGGAGTTCAAGACCAGCCTGACCAATATGGAGAAACCCCTGTCTCTACTAAAAATACAAAAATTAGCTGGGTGTGGTGGCGGGTGCCTGTAGTCCAAGCTACTCAGGAGGCTGAGGCAGGAGAATAACTTGAACCTGGGAGGCAGAGGTTGTGGTGATCTGAGAGTGCACCACTGCACTTCAGCCTGGGTGACAGAGCAAGACTCCATCTCAAAAATGAAAATAAAAATAAATAAATCCAACTGTCATCCACCATTCCTAGAAATGAAAGGCAGTGACCAACTTAACATAAACCATTGACCTTACAGATTTACCTGCTTGGCCAACTGAATTCTGCTCAAGAGAACAGCGGACGGGGATGTTCCTTACTGCTGCTTCTTAAAACACATTCAGCTGAGTTAGATTTAGTAAGCCTGGGGAATGAAGTGCTTCTCCACAGTCTTAAGAAATGGAGGCCAGGTGTGTTGGCTCAGGCACTTTGGGAGGCTGAGGTGGGCAGATCACCTGGGGTCAGGAGTTCAAGATCAGCCTGACCAACATGGTGAAACCACATCTCTACTAAAAATACAAACTTAGCTGGGTGTGGTGGTGCATGTCTGTAATCCCAGCTACTCAGGAGGCTGAGGCAGAAGAATTGCTTGAACCCAGGAGGCGGAGGTTGCAGTGAGCCGAGATGGCACCATTGCACTCCAGCCTGGGCGACAGAGCGAGGCTCCGTCTCAAAAAAAAAGAAAGAAAAATGGAGTGAGCATAGGGGACACAGAGCCTGTAATGAAGACATAGATCCCACAGTGCCTTGCACAATCCCTGTGAAAGTTCTGGAAAGGTCTTCTTGAAGATGATAAAGGTTAAGAATCAAAGAAAAAAAAGAAGTGAAAGCTGTTTTTGCAGGAAGGAGTTAGAACACCAAGGGTCCCTCAGCCAGCTAAGGAACCAGATAATACAGGGAGCCCTGCAGGGTGTTAGGAAGGGTAGTGACAGATTTGCCTTTGAGAAAGGCACCTGAGGCCACTGTGGGGAGAGAGGCAAGCTGGGAGCTGGGAGATGGCAAGAGTGGCCCAGCAATGGTCCTTTCCCTAAGGCAGTGGCAGGGAGAAAGGAGGAGGTGTGGAGACATTTAAGAGAGAGACCACAGCATCCACCTGAACACAGGCAGGTGTTATTGGAGAGGGAAGATGGGGCTCAGGAGCTCACACGTCACTTACTGGACCAGGGCAGTGGGTAGTGTCCTTAACAGACAATGAGGACCCAGTCTTACACGTGCCTCTCTTCCCCATTTGTCACTGAGCCTGTCAGGACACAAACCCTCACCTCCAGATCTAGTTAAGGGCAGTGTGTGCACATCAGCCTGCTTTTGTAGTCCGCCTGGGCTGCCCTCCAGCAGACCTCCACCATTCTCACACCAGGGCCCTCCCAGAATACCTGGCTTGGCCTCTGGGAGGCACATGTTCCAAACGGCTTTTTGATTCTCTCTTGAGACTCACCTGAGTAAAAGGGTGCACTTAGCTCACCTTTTGTTAATTTTCTCTTTTTCAGATCCAAGGTATTACCTAGGCATGCATTTCTTTTCTAAAGGGATGTTGAATTTCACATGCGATCCACACATACATTGTAGCAATTTAATATATTAACGAGCTCACAATAAAGGCAACTCCTTGGGCTGTTTCGCAGCTGGGTCTGTACTCTGCTAATGCAGCAGAGAGAGATCAAGCTTTTTCACCACCGCAGATTGGAGTGTGATGTTAACTTCACATGTCAATTTGACCAGGCTATTGCTCCCAGTTGTTTGGCCAAACACCAGCCCCAATGTTGCTGTGAAAGTGTTTTTAAGATGGGACTGACGTTGAAAGCAGTAGCCCTTGAGTCACGCAGATGAACGCCACCACATGAATGGGCCTCATCTCATCAGATGAAGGCCTTAGAAGCAAAGATGGAGGTTTCCCTAAAAAGGAATCCTCCTCAAGGCTGCAACAGAGACGTTCTGCCTGAGTTTCCAGCTTGCTGTCCCGCAGAATTCAGATTCAAAACTGCAGCCTCAACCCTTCCCTGAGTCTCCAGCCTGCCAGCCGGCCAGCCTACCTTGCAGCTTTCAGACCAGCCAGCCCCCACTATCTGGTGAACTAATTCTTTAAAATCTCTCTCCATAGATACTTACACTTGCATATCCTATTGGTTCTGCTTCTCTGAATCATACAGGAGGGCTCTGATGAGTGAAGCTCTCAGGCCTACCATGGCCATCACCTCTAAGGAGGATGACTTACTGAGCCCTCATCGGCACTAAAGCCCAGCTACAATCCAGCCTTAGGGCCTCGCGTCCACTCTTCTCTCTGGACGCTTGTCCCGAGCTGGCTGCAGGCTCACTTTCTCACCTCCTCCAAGGCCAGCGCCCATCACTCCCTAAAATCACACCTCTTTGTAGCAAACCCTGGCCCTCTCCACCTGCCCTTCCCCACCTGCCCTTCCCCATGTATTTTTCTTCTTAGCACTGAGCCCATCAGCACCTGACATATGACATAAGCATCCATTCATTATGTGATTTCTCATCACCTCCCCATCCACTGCTGGAAGGTCAGCCCCATGAGGGTGTAAACCCTGTGTCGGGCCACTGATGACACCCCATGCCTTGAACAGGACCCAGCATACAGCAGGTGCTCAGTAACTACTCAGTGTGGAATGACGGAACAACTGACGGATTCGGGGATGTGAAGGAGAAAGGGCCCGTACACGGTGCGGCAGTTCCTCCCTGCCCTTGGCTTTCCCTTTAATCCAGGCACTGCCCACTGGCGTGGCCTCCTTCCTTGGGGAGCCAGGGCCCTAATCACTCAGGTGGCTCCTGAAGTAGAACCCTACTGTGATGGTTAATACTGAATGTCAACTTGATTGGTTGAAGGATAGTAAGTATTTCCTGGGTGTGTCTCTGAGGGTGTTGCCAAAAGAAATTAACATTTGAGTCGGTGGGCTGGGGACACATCCATCCTTAATCAGGTGGGCAGCATCTAGTCAGCTGCCAGCGAATATAAACCAGGCAGAAAAACATGAAAAGGAGAGACTGGCCTGGCCTCCCAGTCGCCATCTTTCCTGTGCTGGATGCTTCCGGCCCTCAAACATCAGACTCCAAGTTCTTCAGTTTTGAGACGCAAACTGGCTCTCCTTGTTCCTCAAGCTTGCAGACAGCCTGTTGTGGGGCCTGTGATTGTGTAAGTTAATACTGAATAAACTCCCCTTTAGTTGGTTACTATTCTTAGTGTTTATGTCTTAAGTTCTTTATTTTTTTTTTTTGAGACAGAGTCTTGCTCTTGTTGCCCATGCTTGAGTGCAATGGCATGATCTCAGCTCACCGCAACCTCTGCCTCCTGGGTTCAAGCAATTCTCCTGCCTCAGCCTCCTGAGTAGCTGGGATTACAGGCACCTGCCACCATGCACAGCTAATTTTTGTATTTTTAGTAGAGATGGGGTTTTGCCATATTGGCCAGGCTGGTCTCGAACTCCTGACCTCATGATCTGCCCGCCTCAGCCTCCCAAAGTGCTGGGATTATAGGTGTGAGCATGTGCCCTTGTTCTTTTACTTATTTATTTTTGGCAGGTTACCGTTACAGCATATACACATACGGGAGTTTATTAAGTATTAACTTACACGATCATAAGGTCACGATCCTGTTCTAAGTATTAACTTTCATGATCACGTAGGATATATCCTATTAGTTCTGAGCCTCTAGAGAACCCTGACTAATGCACATACAAAAGCACATACCAAAAGGGGGGAGCCATTCTGCTTTGGAGGAGCAGAGGTCCCTTTCCTGGGTCCTCCTGCCGTAGGTCGCAGAGTAGATGTTGAGAAACTTGGATTCATGGCAGTGCAGTTTGAGCTCCTGGTCTTCACACACGGTTTTGTTTTTTAATTCATCTGAAGCAGAAACAAAAATGGAAGGCGCCGTCAGCCTCCCCCAGGAGAACCAGTGAGCACTGTCCAAGTCCCACCACTCATTTCCCCGGGGCTGCTCCCTGAGAAGCCGGCAGTGGGGATGGCCCTGTGGGCTCATGCCATCTCTGACCCCAGGAAACAAAGCTCTCTGCAGGAAGCTGGTGGGAAGTAACTTGTGGACAAGTGCAAAGACCCTGGGAATTATACTACAGGGCAAATGGAGGAGCGGTGCTGGCATTAAGGAGGAAGGGCCTGGCCATAAAGGAAGTCTCTCTTGCTTACCACTTAAGGTCACACATTCCTTCGCTGAAGGGAGCCTTTTCTCAAATGTTGGCTTGGGGTCCACATAGGTAAAGACAGACCTGAAATTACCTGAAAGAAGCGTTAAGCTTCTTTCTCTGTCTGGAAAGAGCCCAGTTAAATCTCACCACCAGCCCCTCTACTGGCATCCCCATGTGTGTATGTATTATTTATTATTTTATTTCCATTTTTTAGAGACAGGGCTTTACTCTGCCACTCAGGCTAGAGTGCAGTGGTGCAACCACGGCTCACTGCAGCCTTGAACTTTTGGGTCAAACCTAGGCTTAAGCAATCCTCTCGCCTCTGCTTCTCAAGGAATACACAGCATGCCCAGGTTACATTTATTTCTTTAAATGGCAAGAAAGAGGCTGGGCACAGTGGCTCACACCTGTAATCCCGGCATTTTGGAAGGCTGAGGCAGGAGGATGGCTTGAGCCCAGAAGTTGGAGACCATCCTGGGCAACACAGCAAGACCTCATCTCTAATTGAAAAAAAAAGGCTGGATATGGTGGCTCACAGCTGTAATCCCAGCACTTTGGGAGGCTGAGGTGGGAGGATCACAAGGTCGAGAGATCAAGACCATCCTGGCCAACATGGTGAAACCTCTGTCTCTACTAAAAATACAAAAATTAGCTGGGTGTGGTGGCGGGTGCCTGTAGTCCAAGCTACTCGGGAGGCTGAGGCAGGAGAATAACTTGAACCTGGGAGGCAGAGGTTGCAGTGAGCCGAGATCACGCCACTGCACTCCAGCCTGGCAACAGAGAGAGAGACTCCATCTTAAAAAAAAAAAAAAAAAGCAAGAAAGATGATATGATACCAAATCAAATGATTTCCTTTACTAGGAAAGGGGCAAAAACAAGGCAGTTTTTGTCAGTTTTATAGAAGGTGTCAGTTTTATATGGTGTCAGCCTTTATAGAAGGCTCCTGCCTCAGCCTTCTATAAAGAATCCCTCTTTATAGAAGTGTGAAAAGTCTGCCCCCAATCTGGTAAATTCAGGAACAACTGACCCTCAAGCTGATGGTGCATTCTGAACCAGGATGATCTGAACCAGGTGGCACTTTGTTCCCAGAGAATTCAGGGAAAAGTCTGTTTGTTTAATCTGCTTATCACAGTAAAATCTTTCTTTGCAATGTCATATAAAGTTGGCATTATGCTTGCACTGTTGAAGAAAACATAGTTGTTTTTTTTAAAGAATGCACTCCAAAACCATTCAATTAATAAAAATGTTTAATAGTGATTTGATTTTTTAAAGCAGTAATAGCTAACACTTCAGACACAAAAAAGCCCATATGGTATGATTCCATTTATATGAAGGATTCAGGAGAGGCAAACCTTTAGGGGCAGAATGTAGATGAGTGAGTGCCTGAGGCTGGAGGTAAGGTCAGACAGAAAAAAGACACAGGGAAGCCTCCAGAGATGGTGGGAATGTTCCATGCTGGACTGTGGTCATGGTTGCACAACTCAGTAAATTTACAGAAAACCACTGGAGTGTACACTTGAAAAAGGTGAATTTTATGCTCTGTAAATGATATCTCAATAAAGATATCTTTAAATAATAGTAGCTAACATGGCTGAGTGCGGCAGCTCACACCTCACACCTCCCAGCACTTTGGGAGGCTGAGGCGGGCAGATCACCTGAGGTCAGGAGTTTGAGACCAGCCCAGCCAACCACATAGCAGACAGGTGCATTTTTTTAGCCAAACAAGCATTGGAGTCATTGGCGTTAACTGCAAACAAGAGTTAAATGACAAGAACTGCTAGAGCTGTCATGGGCTGGCCCAGATTGGGTGGGGAGAGTGTCCAGAGGTTCCCTCTTCCACCCCAGCCTCTCACTCCTTTCACACGCCATGTTCTCGTTCCACTTTTCTTTCTTGGATTGGAAGTACAGGCTGATTCCAGCTCCCAAACACACCTCAAGCCAAACTTTTCCAAATTGTGATTTGAGGTTCATTCATGAGTCTTGAAATCATGAGTCGTGACCAGCAATTTTTAAAAACATAGTTTAGAAAACAACAAAGGGCATCACATGAAGAAGGATAAACACTGTTTTGTGATTTACACATTTCTTTTTCAGTTGTGTGTATGTGAGTATGTGTTCTGCTGGGCCAGAATGTGAAATGTTTTTCCTACTATGGGCTCCAATCACAATTTGAAAACGCCCTCCTCGATCCCTACAGAAAGGCGTGAGCAGTACACATTAGGGCCACAGCAGCAGGCTAGATCTTCATATTCTGGAATCAACGATGCTAAGCTCTAAATTTAAAAAGATGAAAGACAATAATTTCCAAATATAAATGCCACCTTTCTTTTTCTTTCTTTCTTTTTTTCTTTTTTTGAGACAGCGTCTCACTCTGTCACTCAGACTGGAGTGCAGGGGGGCAATCTTGGCTCACTTCAACCTCCACTTGCCAGGCTCGAGTGATTCTTTTGCCTCAGCCTACCAAGGAGCTAGGATTACAAGCATGCACCACCACGCCTGGCTGATTTTTATATTTTTAGTAGAGACAGGGTTTCACCATGTTGGCCAGGCTGGTCTTGAACTCCTGACCTCAAATGATCCACCCACCTAAACCTCTCAAAGTGCTGGGATTACAGGTGTGAGCCACCGCGCCTGGCCTAAATGCCATCTTTCTGTACCTTGTAAATTTCCATTACTTTCTACCAAAAGCAGAGAAGCAACAGTGAGACCAATTTTGGACCACAGGAAGGAAAACTCTACAGGATCTCAAGAGGACCACCAGCTCTGCTGCTGGCAAACTTTGTTTCTAACCTTTCATCCATGAGGATGGGAACATTCACAATGAATGAAAGGCTCAGAGCAGAGGCCAGACTACAGATGCTCACAAATCCCCATCCTTCCCTGGTAGTTTAACATGCAAGAACCACCACCACGAGCAAGAAAAATGAAAATGATGACTAAGCAAATGTCTTTAAGTCCCTTTACCCACTAACTGGAATCTTAAGTCAACAACTTAAACTTAGAGGCAAGGAAAGTTTTGTTTTCTTTTTCTAAATAAAAGACCGCCAAGTCTGACCCCAATGTCAGAAGGTTCGATTCTTTTTGGTGAGTCATATCCGCACTGGCGTTTATGTGCAGTTTGAGTAGATGCTAAATGCCACCAACAACAAAATTTTGCCTGACTTCAAAGACCCAGAGTGGACGATGGCCTTTGATGCAGAAAAGACTGCTTGGATAGAAACGCCAGAAGAGCCAAAGCCCCCTTCCAACCGGGAGAACTTAGAAAAATGTTAAGAATGCCTTCCGGTGGCAGAGCTGGCACAGAAAGAGGGTGGAAGAAGGCCGGACAAAACCAAGCTGAATCTCCGCAAATTAGAAACTTTTAAAATGGAAATTGTTTTTCTTTTTCTTTTTTTTTTTAAATCAAAATTTTTAAAAGTTGGAAGAGTTTTTTTGTTGTTGTTTAAGGCATGTCAGGAAACGCATTTATTAGCCACATTTCTTATTAAAGCCCATTCATTAAAGGTAGCCTCCATGCCAACAACACCCTCCCAGAGTAACACAACACCCACATGCAAGGCCTCTAGCGATCTCCTCCCCAGATTACGAGCAAATCATCTCCTGGAACGGAGAGGCCTGTGAGTGTCACATTACATCCTTGGGGTGATGGCTGTGTTATGTTGAGTCACTTGGTTCCTTGGGAATGTACTAATTCACTGTCAGGTAACAGTGACATTTCTGGATTATAATAAACAAGGGGAGTACTAACATCATTGCTACTTTTCTTAGAAGACTAGAATTTATTTTAGAGCTGAGCGAGAGTTCTCAATTGGTCTCAGGTTAGAGAAGGTGTGGGCAGCCTGCCAGAAGTTGGCTGCCAACACTCCTGGGAGTTTAGATGGGGAGGATGGCAGGAGCCTGGGAAGGTAGAACCACGGCTCTGCTTAAATGACAACAGCAACAAAATTCCCCTTCTCATTCTATTAGGTTAGCGCAAAAGTAATTGCCATTGGCAAAAAGCACAATGACTTTTGCACCAACCTACCCATGAGAGGGCTCTGTGGGTCGTTCTGCTTCTCTTCAACACAATAGTCACAAAAGCACGTCACCAGCCACCTTTCAAAGGTGGGTAGAGGAAGGATTATCCACGACGGGAGTATTTTATTGATGACATTGCATACAACTGCCAGTGTATAGTGATGTTGAAATGTAGCCACGTTTATTTATTTCTATTATTTATTTATTTAGTAAATAAATCTCACCCTCTCATCTAGAATGCAGTGGTGAGATCATAGCTCACTGTAATCTCAAATTCCTGGGCTCAAGCAATCCTCCCACTTCAGCCTCCCAAGTGGCTAGGACTGCGGGTTCATGCCACCACGCCTGGCTAATTTTCTTTGTTCTGTAGAGATGGGGGTCTCACTATGTTACCCAGGCTAATCTCTGACTCTTGGCCTCAAATGATTCTCTTACCTTGGGCTCCCAAAACACTGAAATTACAGGTACAACTATATTCTTTAGCCATGCATATCTTTAGTAGAGTGACTTGAATTAGCTTATTGAAATAATAGCTACCAACTACTGAACTCCACTTCATGGTCCTGTGCCAAGCATGTCACATACAACCCTGTGTCTTATAACAGCCCTATGCAGAAGAGACATAATCCCCATGTTACAACCGAGTCCTAGAAAGTGCGCCCAACACACAGCAGATATACAGCAGAAAGGAATGCAAACCCAGAACTGCCTAAATCCAAGCCTCACTGAAACCTACATTTCCTGAAGGGATGCAATTTGGGAGGCGAGGTTGTGGGGAAGGAAGCATAGCACACACTAGGGAAAAGAAGGTTCTAGTGAGGCTTGCCGGTAAAATAACTTTCCATAAAAACAAACAAATAAACCCCGATCAGTGGCATTTGCCCATTTCCCTGGTGTAACTATTCCCACCGTGGCAGATTCCACAGAACACAGGCAGAGCTGGTAAGAGATGTGCATAACTGGCTCTCATGATAAGAACTGGCTCCTCGCACCACAGGGTGCAGCAGTGAAGCCTCTGAACAATCACAGCGTCCTGCCCTGACTGGAGCTGGGAAGTGAGAAGAGCCTCAGGAGGTGTGAGAGATGCAGGAAACAAGGCAGGAAGGCGTGGAGACCATCTCACTTCCACCTCCTTGAGACCATCTCACTTCCACCTCCTCAACGGCAGTGCCTCAGGTTGCCAGTGTCCAGGTTACATGTGGGCTCTGCTTCTCATCTGCTCTCTATGGGGCAGCCAGAGGAGATTCATGACTTCATCACAGCACCCTCCCTGCCTAGATGCTGCCCTACAGATAGAACCCCAACTCCTTCCTTGGCTGCGAGGGGCCGGGATCCCTGATCCGGCTCTCCGGCTGGCACTCCTTCCTGCTGTCTTGGTGCTGTGATCCTGCCCCGTAACTGGCTATGCCAATGCACCCGCACCCTCCAGCCACAGGCTTCTGTATGGAGGGCTCTTTCTGTGCCCCCATCCCTGCAGTTCTCAGCTCCATCATCAATTCCTCCAAAAAGCCTCCACTGAACCCCCAGTTGAGGACAGTTCCTCCTGTGAGGCTGGGTGTGGTGGTTCACACCTATGTTCCCAGCACTTTGGGAGGCCAAGGCAGGCAGATCACGTGAGGTCTGGAGTTCAAGACCAGACTGGCCAAGATGGTGAAACCCCTTCTCTACTGAAAATACAAAAATTAGCTGGGCATGGTGGCACATGCCTGTAATCCCAGCTACTTGGGAGGCTGAGGCAGGAGAATTGCTTGAACCTGGGAGGCAGAGGTTGTAGTGAGCCAAGATCCAGCCACTACACTCCAGCCTGGGCAATAGAGTGAGACCCTGTCTCAAAAAAAAAAAAAATCATCCTATGAGCTGCTTGCATAGTACCAAGCACCTCTCCATGCAGCCCTGACCCTACCTGGAATCTTGCACGTATTTGTGTAAGATTCACAGTGAATATCAGGCCCCCACGGGGCTGGACAATCTGGTTACTGAGGATGTGCTCACCTGTGTCTCCCCACTGCTGAGTGCAGGACCTGGCCCCTGTGGGACAATGGTGAATCACACAGAGTTCCTGCTCTCACGAGGCTCACAATCTGATGCTATGTGTGTGCAAATAATACACAAGCCGCAAATAAGGTGAACCCAAACGAAGCGGCTGCTGTGAAGAAGATCAGATAGGATGCTGTGGTAGGGACGTCGGGGTGAGAGGACAAGGCTTCCTTAGATTGCTTTTGTTTGTTGTTTGTTTGTTTGTTTTGGGCAGAGAAGGTCTCTCTTGAAAGGTGGAAACTACACAAGGAGAAGGAACCAGCTATGTGAACATTTCAAGAATGCTCGAGGGATGAAGGAAGGTTGGGAAATACCCTCGAGGGGTGTGGACATCACCAGCAACAGAACTGCCATTCAGGGAATTTCTTCATATGCAACTCCTGTGCACTGTAGGGGCTTCATATATGTTTGCTGAAAAAATATGAATCAATCAGATGAAATCTCACAGCGTAGTCCTGAGGCTGTGGCTCTGAACTCACTTATCCGAGGTTCAGTCAATTTTACAAAGGTCATTTGACTTCCTTAGAGGCTGGTTTTTCTCCACTTATTATGAAAAATTTCAAACATATCGAAATGTGAAAGAATATCACAACCGACAGTCATATTCCCATCACCTCAGTTCTTCAATTAACATCTTAACAAGGGCTACTTTTTAAAGGGTAATCTTTTTCACCACAGAATGAGGGAAGTGGAGAAGAGAAAAAAAAGGGCTGAGCGCAGTGGCTCATGCCTGTAGTCCTAGCACTTTGGGAGGCTGAGGCAGGTGGATTGCCTGAGCTCAGGAGTTTGAGACCAGCCTGGGCGACATGGTGAAACCCTGTCTCTACTAAAATACAAAAGAAATTAGCCGGGAGTGGTGGCAGGCACCTGTAATCTCAGCAACTCGGGAGGCTGAGGCAGGAGAATTACTTGAACCTAAGAGGAGGAGGTTGCAGTGAGCCTTGAATAGGCCACTGTACTCCAGTCTGGGTGACAGAATGAGAATCTGTCTCTTAACAAAAAAGAAAGAAAGAAAGAAAAAAGCCAGGCACAGTGGCTCACACCTGTAACCCCAGCACTTTGGGAGGCTGAGGTGGGTGGATCACCTAAGATCAGGAGTTCAAGACCAGCCTGACCAACATGGTGAAACCCCATCTCTACTAAAAATAAAAATTAAAAAAAAAATTAGCCAGGCTTGGTGGTGCACACCCGTAATCCCAGTTACTCAGGAGGCTGAGGAAGAATTGCTTGAACCCAGGAGGTTTCAGTGAGCTGAGATTGTGCCATTACACTCCAGACAGGGCAACAAGAGCAAAACTCCATCTCAAAAAAAAAAGAAAGAAAAAGAAAAAGAAAAGAAGGTGAAGCTAATGACAGTCAAGCGTGTCTTCAAGGCCAGAATATAGTCATCTGTGAGACTCAGCGATGGGAGGGAAGTGAGGCACACAAAGCTGTCCTTGAAGCGATTTCCTGAGTCTGTTGACTGAGGCAGGAGGTGACCCTATGCCTGGGGGTGGAGGAAGGGTGGTTCTGAATGGCTGGGCCTGCTTGCAGGTATTTGTGATTGTGTGTACATGTGAGTGTGTGTGAGTACGTATGACAGTGTGTATGAGTGTGACAGCTTGTATGCATGTGAGTGTGTGTAATGGGGTACAAGGTGGTGGTAGTATGCGTGTGTGTGATGACATGACTGTGAGCATCCATCATGTGCTGTGACGGTGTGAGTGTGTTTGCATGTGCACATGTGCAGCACTGGAATTGCATGTGACTGTGAGCATCCATCATGTGCTGTGAGGGTGTGAGTGTGTTTGCATGTGCGCATGTGCAGCACTGGAATTGCATGTGACTGTGAGCATCCATCATGTGCTGTGAGGGTGTGAGTGTGTTTGCATGTGCAGCACTGGAATTGCATGTGACTGTGAGCATCCATCATGTGCTGTGACGGTGTGAGTGTGTTTGCATGTGCGCATGTGCAGCGCTGGAATTGCATGTGACTGTGAGCATCCATCATGTGCTGTGACGGTGTGAGTGTGTTTGCATGTGCGCATGTGCAGCACTGGAATTGCATGTGACTGTGAGCATCCATCATGTGCTGTGAGGGTGTGAGTGTGTTTGCATGTGCGCATGTGCAGCACTGGAATTGCATGTGACTGTGAGCATCCATCATGTGCTGTGAGGGTGTGAGTGTGTTTGCATGTGCAGCACTGGAATTGCATGTGACTGTGAGCATCCATCATGTGCTGTGAGGGTGTGAGTGTGTTTGCATGTGCACATGTGCAGCGCTGGAATTGCATGTGACTGTGAGCATCCATCATGTGCTGTGACGGTGTGAGTGTGTTTGCATGTGCGCATGTGCAGCGCTGGAATTGCATGTGACTGTGAGCATCCATCATGTGCTGTGACGGTGTGAGTGTGTTTGCATGTGCACATGTGCAGCGCTGGAATTGCATGTGACTGTGAGCATCCATCATGTGACAGTGTGAGTGTGTTTGCATGTGCGCATGTGCAGTACTGGAATTGCATGTGACTGTGAGCATCCATCATGTGCTGTGACGGTGTGAGTGTGTTTGCATGTGCAGCGCTGGAATTGCATGTGACTGTGAGCATCCATCATGTGCTGTGACGGTGTGAGTGTGTTTGCATGTGCGCATGTGCAGTACTGGAATTGCACACAGCAGTTCCAAGGCATGTGGGCCCTGGCAGGCAAGGGCTTGACAGAAGCCTGCAGATCTGTTGAAGGGATCCAGGGGTTTCTCCCCAGATGTGCACCTGAGACCATAGTATGAGTGTGGCCTGACCCCTCCCCACTTAAGTCCAGCACCTAGGCCCCCAAGGTTCCGGGAATGCTGGGCTCCAGGGTGGGAGCCAACAGAGAACAAAATGCAAGAAGTGAAAACAGGTGTGTTGGATGGGGAGGAGGCTGAAAATGCTTAACTCGGCTGGGCATGGTGGCTCAGGACTGTAATACCAGCACTTTGGGAGGCTGAGATGGGAGAATCGCTTGAATCCCGGAAGCGGAGGTTGCAGTGAGCCGAGATCACACATTGCACTCCAGTCTGTGCAACAAGAGTGAAACTCTGTCTCAAAAAAAAAAAAAAAATCTTAACTCCTTGTGTTTTGGTTAAACACACAGCTATCATTTCTCTGCAGCAAGGTGTTCAAGAACCTCTAACGCTGCAGTGACCTCTGGCTTCTCTTGGAGCCTGGAAGTGTGACCTACCCACTGAAGATGGATTGTTTTTGGCCATCCCAAAACTGACGTGTGTTACAAATGGCAAAAGTCAATGGAGAAAAGAACAAGAATCAGAATAAAAGAGATTGCTCCAGCCATATCTCCTCTCATTCTCCTGGGGAACGAGGAGCCCCTGCCAAGGGTGAGGGCAGGAGGAGCTGGTTCTTAAAGAACTGAAGCAGTGGGTGCAGGTGGCAGGTGGCAGGTGGCCCACTGAGCCTCAAGGGAAAACAGGCAGCCCCTCCGTCTCAGCACAAGACACCTCTGAAAAGCAGAACCAACTCCTCATTTTGTGGAATAGCAATTGTGGTCTCTCACTACCTCAAGAGTCATAGCATCAGTACAATTGAGTTTTACATATTGGAAAGGATTTTTAAAATTCCTTAAGGAATTTTAAAATTCATACAAGGATTTGTATGAAGGCATATGCAGATGCACACACACAATCCTTCTCTCCCTCTCTCTCTGTCTCTCTCTCTGCCTCTAAAAAACTGGGTAGGATGGAGCACAGTGTTTTTATTAATGTGTTTCAAAGTTGGAACAAATGCCAACGAGCAGAGAATTCTGACCAGGAGTGTGAAGGAAGCGAGAACCACACCCCAAACACTGTCCCCCTTCGGTTACTTACTAGGTTGGCATTTAAAGGAGACCAGGAGGTATTTACTGCTTCCTGGACAAAGGTCAGGTCCAAAAACACGGCTATTGACCAGGAGGTGGCAGGCCCGCTGGTTCTGGCATTCGTCCAGCACCTTCTAGAAGGAGAGGGTAGAAAAGGGATAGACTTGAAAACTGCTCACAGTGACTGCCAGCCCCAAACCGGGGCTGCTCTGGGCTCTGCAAAGGGAAGGGCACCTCCCCACCTGGCCAAGCTGTGGCTAAGGCCAAAAAGCATATAAGTGGGTGATCGGCTTGGCACCCTGTCTCCTTGCTCTTTCTCCTAGAAAGAAACTGATCCTGCTGGAAGCAGTGGCTCATGCCTGTAATCCCAGCACTTTGGGAGGCTGAGGCTGGCAGATCATCTGAGGTCGGGAGTTCGAGACCAGCTTGGCCAACATGGTAAAACCCTGTTTCTACTAAAAATACAAAATTAGCTTGGCATGGTGGGGCATGCCTGTAATCCCAGCTGCTCAGGAGGCTGAGGCAGGAGAATCACTACCCAGGAGAAGAAACCTGATCCAATAGTGCCAGGCTCCTCAGAAAACTAACCTCCGATCTACAACCACTGGCATGGCTGCTGCTACTTTCAGCAAAAGCACTGCCCTGCGAGGCTCCAGGAGGTGCAAGCAAGGTCAGAGGACTTTCAGATATTGGGCTGCAGGGGACTTCCAGGTCCCCTTCGAGCGAGGATTCCCTAGCTTTAAGCTGAGAGAGCTGTGGCCATCAGGAATCACAATCCTGGCCCTTCATCCTTAAACAGCCCTGCACAGGCCACAGGAGAGCTGTGCACTGGGGAGCCCTTGGGGACCCAAAGCCTTTCTAGCTTGCAAACCATTTGCAGTTATAAAATAAAAATTACAAAGCTGATTCCCACCCTCATCAAACTCAAGAGCAAACTCAAGAGGATGGGACCCACTTCTCCCTTGGGAAGCAGTTTTCTTTTTCTTTTCTTTCTTTTTTTCTTTTTCTTTTTTTTTGAGACAGAGTCTTCCTCTGTTGCCCAGGCTGGAGAACAGTGGCACAATTTCAGGTCACTGCAACCTCTGCCTACTGGGTTCAAGCAATTCTCCTGCCTCAGCCTCCCAAGCAACTGGGACAGCAGGCACATGCCACCACACCCAGCTAATTTTTTTGTATTTTTAGTAGAGATGGGGTTTTATCATATTGGCCAGGCTGGTCTCGAACTCCTGACCTTGTGATCCACCTGCCTTGGTCTCCCCAAGTGTTGGGATTAAAGGCATGAGCCACCGCGCCCGTCCAGGGAACAGTTTTCTTAGTGGAATGCTCAGACTTTCTGTTGGGCATTGGGCTTAAACGCTTTCCTTTAAATCTCAATCTCTCTCTCTCTCTCCTGATTTTTTCCAGGCAGCTCCTTTGCCTTTAAGGCTTCTGCTCTGTGGGAGCTCACAGAACACCCTCCTCCAGGTCCTGGTAAGGCTCAGCATTTTGCTTCTGGGTTCTTCTAGGTCCTCATTCCCAAATGGAACGAGTCCTGCCTGTGATAAACACAGAGGTCCTGAACTTGGGTCTGATTAAAACAAAAACAAAAAGGACACCAAGTACAGTTAGGAAAAAAGTTCCCAAGAATCTGCTTATGACTTTAAGGCTGAATTTGGTGCACACATGAGCCTCTCTGAGTCATCATGTTCTCAGAGCAGCTCATGGAATATCTCTGTGAAGGAGGCTGGCCCTGCCAGGTATCCCCCATCCTCTCCCAGGCCCAGCAGACGTGTCTTGGTCAGGAAAAAACACTCAAGCTCAGGCTCTCAGAAGGTGCAGCTTTCAGATGACTGCAGTGGCATGGCGAAGGGCCATGGTGAAATAACTCAGCCCGCAGATGACACTGGGGGGCTCCTCAGAGCAGACCCCAGGGCAGGGCTGTTTCCAAACTATGTCATGAGCTGGAAAATGCAGAGGGGGGGACTTCCTGTTGACAGTTAAGGGATGAATCAGCTGTGATCTCCCGTGTGGATGTCTTTCCACCTTAAGCAATCTCCCTCTGAGGAAACACCTTGCCTGGGCTCCCAGTGCAGCTTAAAAGACATAAAAGTAGGCCAGGCATGGTGGCTCATGCCTGTAATCCTGGCACTTTGGGAGGCCAAGGTGGGTACATCAGGAGTTCGAGACCACCCTGACTAACATAGTGAAACCCTGTCTCTACTAAAAATACAAAAATTCGCCAGGAATGATGGGAGTGGTGGTGCCTGTGATCCCAGCTACTTGAGAGGCTGAGGCAGGAGAACTGCTTGAACCTGGAGGCGAAGGTTGTGGTGAGCCAAGATTATGCCATTGTATTACTCCAGCCTGGGTAACAAGAGTAAAACTCCACCTCAAAAAAAAAAAAAAAAAAAAAAAAAAAAAAGACACAAAAGTAAAGGACTTCTTGACCTCTGGTTGAAAGAGTAGTGCATTAGCCGGGCGTGGTAGCATGTGCCTGTAATCCCAGCTACTCTGGAGGCTGAGGCAGAATCGCTTGAACCTGGGGGGCAGAGGTTGCAGTGAGCCAAGAGCACGCCACTGCACCCCAGCCTGGGTGACAGAGCTAGACTCCGTCTCAAAAAAATAAATAAGAAGAAAGAAAGAGTGGTGCATGGGGATGTTTCTGGCAAGCAAACCCTCCGAACAGCATCGGAACTGTATTCCCAAATGCTAACTTGTCGGCCTGGTTATAGAAACATCCTTTCCCTCCGGGGTATCTGTCAGAGGCAGGTATCTGTGGAATGGTGGAGGTGGTGCCCATGCTCTAATGTACCAGGAGTTCACACTTTTACAAAGTAGCCACTTTAAAAAATGTTGGTACTGGCCAACATTCCTTTCATGCACCCAGGAGGGCAGCAGGTAGCCTGGGATCCAAGGATGGATGGGCAGGGCAGGTGGCTGAGAAGTGGGGTGGGTCAAGAGGGGTGCAGCTCCTGCAGTGGCACCCAACGGGGAGAATTAGGGGTGGGGTGGGTGCTATGCTGGAATTAGGGGTAGGGTGGGTGTTTTGCTCCAAAACTCACATTGAAATGTAATTGCCATCGTAACAGTATTAACAGGTGGAGTCTTTAAGAGGTGATCAGACCCTGAGCCCTCCACCCTCATGAATGGATTAATGCTGTTGTTTTTTTTTTTTCTCAGGAGTTGGTGGTTAGAATGGCACTAGCCTTGTTATAAAAGGCAAGTGTGGTCCCTTCTCCTTCTCTTGCCCCTTCCATTCTTCTGCCATGTGAGTACCAGTGTTCCCCAATCTCCTCGAGGATATAGTCTTCAAGGAGTCATCTTGGAAGTAGACACCAAACCTATGGCAGCTCTTGGGCTTCCCGACCTTCAGGACTGTGAGAAATCAATGTCTGTTCTTTATAAATTACCCAGGCTCAGGTACGCTGTTAGAGCAGCACGAAAAAGACTAAGACAGTGGAGCACACAGGGAAAGCAACTTCTTGCCTCCTGAAGAAACACGTTGTCTCTCCTCAAGGTATAGAAACCATGTCACAGGGAGTGCTCGAACACATTCATTTTGGCTACTCAATTGATGTTTTTACCAATCACCTGAATACCCAGATGCTACCATGCTTGGAGTGGAAGCAAGGGATGGTCTGAGAAATAGAAAAATTCTTACATCATCACATTAGTTTTGCTTCTCCTGTTTGGGCCTTAGGGAGAGCTACACAGCATTAGAGTGAATCCTATTTCTCCTTAGTTCTCCTCGCAAATTTATCTTTATCCACATTTTCTACGGTTGACAAAATCAAACAGACTTCCAACTTGCCACCTGCTCTAAACTCCGTGCTTTAAATGTATTCATACAGAACTTGGAAGGCATTAAAAAAAAAATCTAAGGCCAAGTGACTCAGTAATCCTGGTCAACTAGTTACATATGTCAGGGGTCCGGGATGGTGACATAGAAGCTGCTCAGATGACTGAAAGCCATGCACAGTCTAAAGCCATCATTGAAATATTAGTTTGACCTTCTCCTATACCAAACCTTTCCCTAAATATGCCAACCACAAAAAGAATGACTTAAACCACACCTCCCAATTCCTGGTACTATCCAGTAGAAGGAAGGAGTCAGTAGAGGCTGCCCAAAATAGATCCACGCAAGAATGATGTGATCATCTGCAAGTGGAGAAGGAAACCATTAAAAAGCACAAGGCAGTTATTGATATTTCCTTCCTTGAGTACATTTCTTTCCTTTCCTTTTTTTTTTTTTTTTTTGAGATGGAGTTTTGTTCTGTCACCCAGGTTGGAGTGCAATGGCGCAATCTCTGCTCACTGCAACCCTCGTCTCCTGGGTTCAAGCGATTCTTCTGCCTCAACCTTCTGATTAGCTGGCACTACAGGTTCAAGCCACTACACCTGGCTAATTTTGTATTATTAGTAGAGATGGGGTTTCACCATATTGGCCAGGCTGGTCTCGAACTCCTGACCTTGTGATCCGCCTGCCTCAGCCTCCCAAAGTGCTGGGATTATAGGCATGAGCCACTGCGCCTGGCCCCTTGAGTATATTTTCTTTTTTTTTTTTTTTTTTTTGAGACAGAGTCTCTCTCCATCACCAGGCATCAGGCTGGGGTGCAGTGGTGCAATCTCGGCTTACTGCAACTTCCGCCTCCTGGGTTCAAGCAATTCTCTTGCCTCAGCCTCCTGAAGTAGCTGGGACCACAGGCACACGCCACCACACCCAGCTAATTTTTGTATTTTTAGTAGAGACGGGGTTTCACCCTGTTGGCCAGGATGCTCTCTATCTCTTGACCTTGTGATCCACCCACCTTGGCCTCCCAAAGTGCTGGGATTACAGGCGTGAGCCAATGGGCCCAGCCCCTTGAGTACATTTTCTAAGAAGTTGGTCATGACTTCAGATGTCTGCTTACAGAGATACTTGTGGTTTCCATTACAGAATCCACTTTCCCTTTCTACAGGGATGTTTACGGGAGATGTGGGCCTGGAGGTTGAAATCCATTATGGATTTCTTACTTTGCTATAGTACGGTAAGGATTAAACCTACAAATAAATTCATATTGAAGTGTACAAAGGGGGCTCTGCAATGGGTAGGAATTCTATTTAGATTTCTTTGATAATGAATCCTTTTGAGAAGCAAATTATAGCTCACCTACAAAACTGCTGATCTGTATAAATTGGGATTTTTCATGGATCAGTTTTGCTTTGATTGAACTATATAATCACAAATATATTTATACCTAGAGAGCGAGAAAGAGCGTATATTGAAACTGTATCATCTTAACATGTCTACCAAAGGCAATACCTGAAAAGTGGTGGGTGCCACACAGGTTAAGCTGTCTTCCCTCTGGGAGGCAGGCTTCTGGGAGCTACACATTTGGTAATCTTGCCCATAAAATGCTGATTGGACACTTATCGTAGAATGCCGAGGGCACTGTAGATTCAAATAGTCCCCATCACAGGCATAGGCGGTGTGGTTTTGCAGGAGTTTGGTTAGGTAACCTGGAAAATATTCAGTCGGGTTACAAGAGGCCCAGGAACCCACCACTCCTCCATGGGTTTGGGGACAGGAGGATGATAGTTCCCCTGGGGAGGGACTGTTCAGTCCACAACATGTGTGGTGGGGTCTTTCTAGCAGCTCTGGGGCAGATGTCACCGAACCAGAGCCAATGTCAGCTTTCATGTTGATATGGGAGTGGGACAGGGAAGTGCTGGGTAGAGAAGGGCAGGGTCCCTGGTGAGGGCTCCACTCTCAGGCTTGCACCCATGGACCTAAGTGAGAACACGCACTCCTGTTTTCATGTCCAAATGTTGCATTTTCCAAGACCACTCTAGCCCGCCATGACTCCCATCCTGTGCCCACAAAAACCCAAGACCATAGGGGGCACAGCCACAGTGGTTGGATGTCAAGAGGGGCAGAGGAGCAGAAGAGCACGCTGACAGACACCAGCAGATGCCAGCAGGCTTTTGACAGCGGAACAACATGGAATTCAGTGGGGGCAGCCGGAGGACAGTCTGGCTGCTGGGTGGCCCAACTCCAAGGGAAGACCACCTTCCCACTCCATCCCCCTTCTAGCCTCTCATCCATCTGAGAGCTACTTCCACCACTCAATAAAACCTTGCACTCATTCTCCAAGTCCACGTGTGATCTGATTTTTTTTCCAGTACACGAGGGCAAGAACCGGGGATACAGACAGCGCTCTGTCCTTGTGATAAGGCAGAGGGTCTAAATGAGCTGATTAACACAAGCCACCTGCAGATGGCAAAACTGGGAGATAGCCCATTGTAACACACGCCCACTGGGGCTTTGGGAGCTGTAAATACACAATCCTACATGCTGCTGTGGGTTGAGAGCCCAAAAACGCTCTTCACAACCTGCCCATCTGCATGCTCCCCTTAGGGGTTTGAGCAGCAGGGTACTGAAGAAGTGAGCCGCACCCCTGCTGCTTGCCCTGAGAGGGGGTAAGGGAACTCTTCCCATTTCAATGTCTGGCCCAGAAACTGCGGTCTGGGATGGCCCACTGAATGGTTTGGAGGTGTCTTTCCCCTTCAGGAAGTACTCAGATATTCACCAGGAGCCAAGGAGTCCTGAAGCACCTTTATAAACCAGGGAAAAAATTGGGGTGTGTGTCCCCTGGACGTGTGGATGCCTGTCCTAAGCGAGGCTTGCATTTGCTCATCTCCCACTAGTGAGGCCATGCCTTACTGGGATGAGAGGATGCAGTTTTACTTCAAGAAATCACTCTTGGCTCTGTCTTGGTGCTGGAGAGGAAAGCCGGGCAGGGTACTGTGTGGAGAGGGGGCCTGCTCCGAGGATGTGCTGTGGGGAGGGAACGGTGAGGCTCTGCTGTGGGTGGAATAGTGTCCCCTCAAGTTCATGTTCATCAGGAACTTCAGAATGTGACATCTGGGAATAGGAGGTTGTAGATGTAATGAACTAAGATGATATCATACTGGAGTAAGGCAGGCCTTAACACCACAGGGCTGGTGTCCTTATAAGAAGAAAGGAGGAGCCACAGAGGGAAGACAACCACGTGCAGATGGAATGATGCATCTGAAGCAAGGAATGCCAAGCATTGCCAGCCACCACCCAAAGCTGGAAAGGGCCAGGAAGGATTCTTCCTTAGAACCTTCGAAGGCAGTACGGCCCTGCCAACACCTGGATTCGGACTCTGGCCTCCAGAACTGTGAGGGGACTAATTTCTGTTGCTTTCAGCCACCTAAGTTTAGGAAATGGGTTGCAGCAGACACAGGAAATAAGACAGGCAGCCAGTCCCAGCCTCGGCAATTCCCAGGCAGCTTGCAGGAGCCACGCTGGGCTCTGGGCTCTGAGAAGCTCTGAGGCCCAGCAGGCACGGGGGCCCAGACTGTTTCTCAGCAAGGAGGAAGGAAGGTTCATCCTTGGATCTGCTTCCTCCTTCTCACACCTCACGAGGTCACAGTGAGGCGGCTGGGAGGGGAGCCAGGGACTTTTCACTGAGGTGTGTGGGAGACAGCTTGGCAGCCCTCAGCCTCTGAAGGGAGGAGGTGGCGTGAAGGAGGGCAGCTTCGGAACTTCCCAGTTCCTGCTCGATGACCTGTGTGTAAAGTATTCCTGTTTAGGTTTCAAAATCCTCTCAGAGACATAATTCTCAGAAAATCCAGGCACTCAATCCAGCTCCCTGGGCTTCCCTGAAACCCGAAATCAAAGGGGCTGAGCCAGCCTGCCCTGGGGTCCTCATGCCCACCCAGTCCAGAGTGCTGTTTAGAGGAAGGCTACAGTCACTCCCTGGCTCACTCATGCGGACGTTAGCTGTCTTGCTGAAACTCCTTTCTTCACCCTTGAAAACTACTGGAAGAATGGCCAAGAACTCAGCCATCCCGAGTAAGTTCACTTAGAGAAGCAAAATCCAACATGAGTGGCAAAAACCAGCACCAGGAGTGTGGGTCAGAGTCCTGCCTGTTAGAACCACATCATTGCTGGCACAGTGCACCCACCAGGCACCAAGAGACCCCTCGGTGGCCCTGGGCCTCTGGTCAGTGTCTCCCCACCTGGCACATAGGCAGGCCCTCATAAAACGATGTGTACTGAAAGTTCCAGCCTTCCTGGTGGGTTTTCAGCACTCCATCGTGAGCCACACTCTGCCCCAGGGAACGCAGGGTCACCCTGATGTGACCCCTAGGCCAGTACCCCAGGCTGGCACACCCATACTTAGATCTCTTCAGCCTCCTCATGAGAACCTTCTTGTCCATCACCCCATCATTCCCCAGACTGTGCTAAATCAGGAGCTGACCACACGTCAAATGAATTTTCAGAGTGTGTCTTTGGTTTAGTGTTCCAGGCTTATCCAAAAGACCAGGTCAATATAGCTAGATGAAAATATGACAAGGTTTGGGGGAAGCAGAGCCACAAGATGGAAGGTACCTGGGTCCCAGATTCTTGAAGAGAGGAGCTGCCTGCTCCACAGACTGTCACATGAGTGGGAATGAAACTTCTGCTATGTTTCTTCACGCTATTCGTCACATAGTCTATCCCTGCTAAACAGAACCTGACCTCCACCGGACCATTTACATCAAGACATGTATGTGCAGTGCAGAGCCTGAGCCTCCAACCTGTGTCCTCCTGCCCACCTATCCACCTGTCCTTATCATATTCTTATTCTGAGGATGGTATTCTGGGGCCAGAAGCTCAGTGCATAGAACTGACTAATGCAAGATCCTTCAGGGGCTTTGCACTTTGAAGTATGTCAGTCCTAGCATGATGCAGGTACAAAGAAGACACTTCAGCAGTATGACCTCCCCTACACTCAGTCCAATTCCTTCTTCAAAACCTAGGCCCAGCCAGCCATTACAGCTGATGCCTGTAATCCCAAGACTTTGGGAGGCCAAGGCGGGCAGATCCTCTGAGGTCAGGAGTTCGAGACCAGCCTGGCCAATGTGGTGAAATTCTGTCTCTACTAAAAATGCAAAAAATAAGCTGGGCATGGTGGCACGCCCCTGTAATCCCAGTTACTCTGGAGGCTGAGGCATGAGAATCACTTGAACCCAGGAAGTGGAGATTGCAGTGAGCTGAGATTGCGCCACTGCACTCCAGCCTGGGAGAGTAAGACCCCATCTCAAAAAAAAAAAAAAAACCAGACAATAGAATGTTACTTAGCACTAAAATGAAATGAGTTATCAAACCACAAAAAGACATGAAGAGACCTGAAATGTGTATTCCCAAGTGAAAGAAGCCAATCTGAAAAGGCAGTGCACTGTATGATTCCAAATATATGACATTCTGGAAAAAGCAAAACTATGGAGACAACGAAAATATCCATGGTTGCCAGAGGTCAGGAGAAAGGAGGAATGAACTGGTGAGGCACAGGGGATTTGTAGGGCAGTGAAATTACTCCGTGTGATACTACAATGGTGAATTCATGTCACTGTCCACGTCCAGATCCAGGCAATGAGCAACACCAAGAGTGAGCCCTAATGTAAACTATGGACTCCAGGTGAGAGTGATGTGACAATGTAGGTTTACTGATTATGACAAATATCCCACCCAGGTTTCATATTCCTAGTGGGAGAAGCTGTGCATGTGTGCGTGTAGCAGCAGGGAGTAGAGGTTGATGAAAACTGTGTTTTCTGCTCCATTTTTCTTTCCTTCCTTCCTTCCTTCCTTTTTCTTTCTCTCTTTTCTTTTTCTTTCTTCCTCTCTCTCTCTTTCTTTTCTTGATGGAGTCTTGCTCCGTCACTCAGGCAGTGGTGAGATCTTGGCCCACTGCACTCAAACTCCTAACCTCGTGATCTGCCTGCCTCAGCCTCTCAAAGTGCTGGGATTACAAATTTGAGCCATCATGCCTGACCTCTGTTCCATTTTTCTATGAACCTACAACTTCTCTAAAAAATTAAGTCTATTTAAAAGGAAAAAACTCCCTCCCCCAGGGTAGCATTACCTTTAGGAGGAGAGGGGCTAGCGATAGGGAGGGGAGAGGGGAGATCAGGTGAGCTGGCCAGGCCCTGTTTCTTGGCTGGCGTGTGCTTTACTTCCTGAAAGCTCACCCACTTATCCACTTTGCATGTATAAACAAAAATGTTTAAGAAAACTTCACCTGCAGTTACCTGACCTACACTTTTAAACAACAAAGAAAGCCTAGGCACCATGGAGCCTTGGGTGATTAATGGAGGAATGGGGTGTGGAATGCCTGCTTCTGCAGCCAGCCTCAGTCCTGTGAGGATGGGCTCCCAGGTGACAGCAGGACAGGCTCATGAAAGCCAGCCGTCACTCACATGCTCTGGTCCTCGAGGGTGGCTGCCATGCCTCATGCTGTTTGGTCTACAGTGCCAAAAGGTTGGGAAGAAGGACAATCAGAACAACCCAATGGTTTCAGCGACACGGAAGCCATCAACAACCATTCGGAAACCATTCAGAATGATGGGTGGGGACAGAAGCTTGTTTGGAAAAGGTTGAAAAGTGAATGGACGGGCCAGACGTGGTGGCTCATGCTTGTAATCCCAACATTTTGGGAGACCAAGGCTTG